ATATATCCCCTTTTGAATGTTTGGCCTGTTGAGAGGCACAGAGAGAGGGTTGAAAAAAGATGTTTGAAATCAAGCGTAATAATTGTTTGTGTTTAGATGCCAATAAATGTATGTGTATGCTTGTTGACATTATACCCATAGAGAGTTTGCACTTTCACAACTTTTTTGTTTTCTACATGTAGACCATGATGTAGAAAGAAGCAAAAATAAAGTAAAAACTCACAACAAATTCATTTCAGTTCCATTAAAATAATTTCATTTTAGCTGTTTTTTCTTTACATGAAAATTGCAATATGAAATTAAAAAAGAATGTGTAAAATTCTAAATAAATAATGCTGTTGTTTCGCTGTATGTAGGCCATTATGTAAAATTCAGTTGAATTGAACTGAACTGAATTGAACTGAATGATGTAAAATGAAGGAAAAAATAAAGGAAAATTGCAGCATTCAAAACTAATTTATTTAAATTGTGTTTATTCTTGACAGCTCTTAACATTAAAATTCTAAACTAAAAGAAAATGAATGTACAAAATTAAAATGCCTGAAATAAAATAAAAAAATCAAATGCTGTTCTTCAGCTGTAACCAATCAGAACAGGACATCACTGGTTGGCTCAGCTAGCCAAGAAAGACCAGGTATCATGACTTGAGCTCTGGTGTATAATCCTTACAGTCAGTCAATTATCCTGATCTGGATTCCTGGCTATATGTTCTGCTGGGGCATCTGCTATTAATAATTTAAGACTTTGGTGGTAGAAAGTACTTTCCATGTTTAACTAAGAGTAATAGCAGAGGCGTCAAGCCCATTCAAAGTGACTGAGTGAAAAATTTTTGAGCCGAGTGGATTTTGAATGCAGCTTTCAAAAGACAAAAAATAGCAGATTAATATTTTCTATTTTCTATATTTGATACAATCACACCGGCGTGATTATAACGTTCAGTGCGTCATATCATCAGTTGCTAAATTTAAATCTGCGTTTATCTGGCTGGCGCCGAGCCAGATACATTTTTACAGCACTGCGCATTAACCAATCACACACATTGCTGTTGAGCTTATGAATGCAATGACCAATCAGAGGCGTTCAGATGAGTCCTCGCTAAAATGCCGGTGTTTTCTTCACTCGCTCCCTGACTTAATACCTCTTTCTGGAGTAGGCTATTCTCTCGTTAGAAACAGCAAAGTGTAATGTGTGTACGAATCTGTAAGATATTAATTTCATAGTGTAAACAGCTTCAGTGATTTTAATGGGAGTTTTTGAGAGTGCTTGAACTAGATTGCCAGTGAATGTTCTTTGATAATGTAAATGTTCTTTGCTCTCTTTCTGTACAATGAAAGTGTTATGATAGTCTAACTTGCAATTCTTATTATTAAAATTAACTTTCAATGTTAAATTCACATTAAATATAAACTCGGTCTATTAAAAATATGTCATGGCATGACATCCATATCTGTTAATTAAGTAAACAGACAGGTTTTTATGCATAGTTAATAGATTACATTATTAGGTTACTTTGACCATCGCCCACTATAGATCAACATAATCTAGGTGAGAATCAAGATATTTCATGATATAGTTAATGCGTTTGGGGATGTTTCTAATAAAAAGGAAAAAATAAATAAAACATAAGTGCTGTTGTGGCTGCCGCGTGTCACATGACGCCCCCCCCCCCCCCCCCCCCCCCCCCCAACTCGCACCCCCTCAAAAATAATGAGTGCATGACGCCCCTGAGTAATAATAAAACAAACCAAAGAATAATCCATAGCCATTACGCTCTGTTTGTTCCATTTTGCAAACACACTAAATTCAACAAGAAATCTGAATTTATTATACTTTTTCTTGCAGTCTCGTATCGTATCCCTTTAGCAATCACAGCTCATGCTCATTTTTCAGTTATAAGTTTACAATTATCTGCAAATCAAATCAAATGATTTGTTCAAAAGTTAGGGGTAAGATGTTACTCAGCATCATTCAGCAACAAATTGATCAAATATGACAGTAAATGCATTTATAATGCTTCAAAAGATTTAAATCATTACCAAATCAGTATATTATATGATTTCTTAAGGGTCATGTGACACTGAAGACTGGAGTAATGGCTGCTGAAAATTCAACTTTGCCTTCACATGAATACATTACATTTTAAAATATATTAAAATAGAAAATAGTTTTTTTTTAAATTGTAATAATTTTGTACATTGCTGTTTTACTGTATTTATTTTAAAAATGCAGGTAGGCATATGACACTTCTTTTGTCTTACAGAACCAATATTTTTGTAGTATTCAGTATTATGATCTCATATAATCATAATACTCATATAATCTGAAATCAGTATTACAGATTTATCTGTCAAGAAACTCTTTTAACAGGATAGTTCACCCAAAAATGAAAATTCTGTCAACATTTACTCAGGCTTGTTCCAACCAAATGTGAATTTCTTTATTCCGCTGAACACAAAAAAGTTATTAGTAAGAATGTCGGTAACACTATGGTCATCATTGATGTCCATAGTGTGTGTGTATGTATGTATTTAATTGTAAAAAAAACTATGGAAGTCAATGGGACAAGCAACTGTTTAGTTAACCACATTTTACAAATATCTTCTTTTATGTTCAACAACTTGAGGGTGAGTAAATGATGTCAATATTTATTTTTGGGTGAACTATCCCTTTAAAAGGCAGCACAGGCCTCAAACATTTTGTCAGTCCAAACACTTTGCATTGACAGATGAGTTAACTGACTGAGAGATGATTGTAATTTGTGTGAATGAGCACATTAGAGCCTGAAGTGAAAGTTCCATCCAGCCATAACCAATGGTGTATGTATAAATGTAAATTTCTGCTTTTAGACAAGCACTTTCTGCATACATTATGGAAAAATACCTGTATACTAAATCCTTGATTTTTTTGTTTTTTGTTTGGCATAGTGGCCCTTTAACAAAGACAGCAAGCGACAAAGACAGCAAATTATTTTACATGTGGGAAAATGTGCAACACAAACCTCTCGGTCACTCAATACTGCTTTAATCACCAATCAAAATAATGGCCTGATCTCACCACAGCTTAATATAAAACATCAGCAACACTGTGAAGAACACATGTCTCTTTTCTCTATTCATTATGAGGAAGGTGTTAGCACTAGCAGGGGGTACTCGCTAACTGGCTCGCTAATTATGTGGCATGTCCTGTGGAGGAGGTTTTGGAAGCTTGTTGCTGAGCACCTGGAGTGTTTTCTGATTGGAGGTTTTCTTGACAAATGATTTATTCATGTCATGTCATTGGTCAGACCTCTGTAGCCACAAGGCACAAATTAAGGATGTAGTTTCGAAAATGCCCAGGTCACGGGCCACAAAGACTGAGCTCATTTATACAATGGGTCTTTAACAGTGTAAGAGGTCAGGCCATTCATTTGGATTGCCTTTTAGTAATTCAGTGTAAGCTAATATAATGTGTTTTGGTAAAGCTATAACTTCAGTATATATCTAGAATATAATTATATATATGCTCTTTCCTTACAAATATATCAGAAATATATCCTACATTTAACATTCTCTTTTAATTCTTCAGTCAGAAGCTTTGTGAGGGCAAGTCTCTTGCAGTATGCCCAATTTATGATGTGGTGGGCCTGAGTGCAAATATTTGGTTTCACTGTGTTTTATCTGGGGATAAACCCATATTATGTACTTCAAAGTTGCAAAACGCTTGCACATGCGTGGAGTGTGATGCTCCCCTCTTCAGCCAAGCTGCCTGTGCAGTGGTTTGCTTAATTTGCATCGGGTCATGGGCAGAGGTCATTCTTGTGATTTTGCAGAAAGGCTTTGCTTGAGGTCACCAACAAACTTTCCAGATGTGCCAGAATGTCATCAAACTTGCATAAGCAGAACCATGTAATTTTTTGACATTATGATATTAAAGATGGCAGTTTGGTTTCCCAAGCAAAAACTTAATGGGTAACTCACCATAATTTGGGGGTTTATTGACATTCGTATATAAAATTTGGAATAAAATAAAATAAAATATTTTTTTACAATAAAAAAAAAAAACTTTTCTATTTCAGTATATTTTAAAATGCAGTTTATTTCGGTGTTGGCAAAGCTGAATTCAGCATGAATACGCCAATCTTCAGCATCACATGATCCTTCAGAAATCATTGTAATATGCTGATTTTTGCTGATTTATTATTATTATCATCATCAATGTTGTGTAACTTTTTTTTCAGGATTCTTTGATGAATAGAAAATTCTAAAGATCCATATGTGTGTGTGTAAGGGATAATGCACCAGATGCGTCCGGTGGTTCTTGGCCTCCACATTGTGCATTAAAATAGTTTAATTCACAGCCAGCTGTGCATTATCCCTTACATATTTCATGTAGTTAAAAATAACTATTGATATGCATCTAGCTGTGTGAGAATTATTTAAATGCATTATCTTTACTTCTCTTAAAGTTTCGCTCACTAGCTTCTCTCCAGAGGTTAGCTGATGAGCCATGTTACTGTTCAAGTGTGCTGGAGACTCTTGATCATGAACAGTGAACTCAGGCAGCCCTCATTGTCCTCCTACACTGAGTTTTGTGTGCAGTAGAAGCTCAGTTTGTTTAGCTCAATGGAGCATTCTAACCCTGTATGGCCAGGTGCCCGATGAAACATATGGTGAGAATCTAGCCCAGGCAGGAGATGGAGGATTCATGGAGTGCTTATCGGCTCTCTGCTATATATCACTTAGGACCAGGGGTCAATTGAAGAGAAGAGTAGAATCCAGTCTGTCTCTGTTTTTTTTTTACTTCATCTGTTTCTTCTTCCCCTGTGGCGTTTAATCTTGCCGAGTAACACCACCGTGTGGATATCAGAGCAATAGCCACAAGTGACGTATTTCCTGGCTGTGCACAACCAGCTGTAAAAATATTCTGAAATTGTGAGGATTTTACAAATTACTGCATAAAAATATATAAGAACACACTCCACTGATTCGTTTTCATTTTTATTCATTTTAAGTACAGTCAAATCTTTTTAAAACGTTAGGCTAAATGTGAAAACAGAGTGGAATGCACATACATTTTTTGGAAATAACATTTGTGTTGGACCATGGATAGAAATCATATAAGGAAACAGTATTGAAACAAACATCTGAAAATTAGAACTCTGCTGTTGTCCAAATATCATGGTCCAATTTATTATACATGTGTGCAAAAGAAAACATGCACTGTGCTGTTTGTTATTGCATTTTGAATGAGGTAGAGATGTTATCATCCCTGCGAGCATGATAAAAGTAATGCATACTGAGTTTTTGAAGGACCTTCACTTATCAACATTTCAAAAGCATTAGCATTAGCATGCTTTTGGGAAAAAGAGCACCAATGACATTTAAAAAACAAAAACTTGTTTTTTCTTGTGATTTCATAGATCATACAACAATAAAAGAGCATGCAAACAGCAATAGCATTATTTTATCAAAGTTTCTCAACTTTGCATATAGCATAATGATGCATCCATTTGTGCTTAACTGAGGAAACATGTCATGATGAGCTGAGGTCAATAAAACTGTATGCTGTCACATTCCCTGGTGTAGCTATGATCTAAGCCTGACATCTACCAATAAATCATTAATAGGGTAAGAATACCCAGGTGAGATCATGAAAAATATGAAATTGTATTCTTGTGACTAATTAAAAAGTGCCAAAGTAACTTGACATCACAGTTATGTACAGCTGATTTTGTTTTAGGTTAGTTTATTCTTAATATACAGGTATATTACCAAAAAGAAAAGGTGAACGTGTCATCATCTTGGCATTTGGTGATTATCCACATTGTGATGAGACGCTACTTCTCTGATGGACAAAGATTTTCACCTCTATTGTTGAGGTCATTGGATCATTCTGTCCAAATCGTATGGAGGCCATAGCTTGGAAGAGCTGGGCCTGAAATGCAGTCTCTGGCTTTGCTTTCTCCTGTAATTGCTTCTCATTTGGAGTGAGTTCATTTCCTTCAGGTATCTAAATAAGTAACATATATATTTTTTACATTTGCATATATGTATGCAGCAGAGGATTTAATTCAAAGTACAGGTGAAAATTATAAAGTAGAACAACTGAGGTTATGATGAACTTGCCCTGTATACAGCAGGCCTACACTGCTATTATTATTATTATTATTGTTGATTAACTTGTAATACCTTTTACGAGGTATTTTCGCTGTTGGAATAATATACAAAAAAAAAAGGACAACAAAAACCATGAGGAAGTAAAATATTCTTACTTCAGCAGACACTGTTTGCAGCCATATTTTCTCCTCGTCTGTGAACTCCATCGCAGAACTGAAACCAGTAAATAATTTCTTACTTAATAATAGCAAACTATTATTATTAAAAGAAGTAATACATTAGAAATTGCTTCAAAGGTAAACTTTAATGTAGCCTATGTTTTGACGCATGTCAGCCTGTCGGGTCTAGCCTCATGCCCAATCATAATTGACCCAAAAAATGCTTTTAAACGCTAAATATGTCAGTCTGCATCAGACAGAAAAACATAATATCAAATGTCATTTATTTTAAAGAAAGACAACACAAGTAGCTACATTTTTCAAGCAACCAAGGTTTTACTGTGCGCATAAATGAAAGTGAAATTAAACAGTATAACCTTGTTGTTCTTTAAAATAGAGGCTAGTTATGCATATTGCTTCCTTACTATATATAGGTCGGCTTATATAATGTACAGCATTAATGTCCTGTCATAAGACGTCTCTTTCTATAGTTCTTTCATTCACCGTTTCCCACACATATATACAAAATGATTTTGACTTACCTTATAAGGGAAATCATCCTAGCGCAAAAAAATGATTTTTCTTCCGTTAAAAGCAGCGCCGAACTGCGTTTAAATGGTAGTTAAAGAGCATTTCTGTTCAGCAGAACTTTTTATGAGTGAACAGAAAAAAACAGAAGTCTTTTTGTGAGTAAACATCCTGCAGACAAAACCTCAGCGGTCGAAACGCCCGGCTGCAGAAGGATACGATGGAGAAAAAATAGATACTTTCACTATAGCAGTTAAAATAAACGCTAATATGTCCGAAAATATTAAAACACTCAAGTCATCATCTCGTTTACCCGGTTAGACGAACGATCTGAAATCAGACGATTTCTCATAAATCACCTGAACAACGACAGTGAAAGTGAAAGTAAAAGTGCGCTTCACGTCTACTCCTGCAGTGTGTTCTCTGCACCACTGTTCATGTTGATTACACATATTCCAACAATAACAGCTTCGACATCTATTTGAAGACGTTATAGCAAAAGTGATACATAAAAGAGTGGAAAGATATACCGTTTTATTTAATCTCAACCAGATCAGACAAGCACCCAGACATTATTGTCATTTACCCATACACATATATTGATAGAAAAGTCCCTTTCCTATAACATAGAATAATGACTGACAAATGAACACTCCTAGGATATTTTTAAAGCAAAGTATTGACAATTTATAAAGTCTAGAGACTTTCAGACAATTGAATTAGTTATAAAATATTTAATGCTGTCAAACGATTAATCACATCCAAAATAAGTTTTTGTTGACGTGTATATTTATTATGTATATATAAATACACACACATACAGTACATATTTAGAAAATATTTATATGTTTATACACATATATATTCTTATATTATATAGAAATATATTTAATATATAAACATACAATTTTTCTTAAATATATACATGCATGTGTTTGTATTTATATATACATAATAAATATACACAGTATACACACATATATTATATAAACAAAAACTTTTCTTTTGGATGCGATTAATTAATCGTTTGACAGCACTAAAAATATTTTCAATGATTTAAAACCGGAGCCCCTGAACCACACAGATCCGGCTGAGAAGTTATGGATCATCTATGCAGAATAGCAGCACGCTGCTGCCCAGCGCTATTTGAGCATATGGCAAGGAAGAGTTGGCAGGAGGCTTAGGGAGTTCAGAATTCCTCCTCTGCGTTTCGGGTTCTTGAGGCCTTCAGCTCCTTGAGTCGCTCCATGCAGTTCGTCAGACTCCTCTCTCCGTGGACCTTGTTGTCACGAGTCCTAACGTTCACGGTGTCACTGCTTTTCTCCTTCTCACCCACCACTGTTATGCATCAATCGTAAAAGTTAGGATCACAATGAATTCATTACAACTACAATGTCTGTGTAAACATATATGCTGCTGACATTGTCAATTAAAATATCAGGGAAATAAATTCACATGCCATTTTAATACAAGCTACTGAGAAGCGGTCATGGTTTGCTAGTGTCGTTTATGGTTTTATGAAACAAGGCAATTTTGCAGAGAAGCATGCAGTTTTCTTTGAATGCGCGAGACCATTCATTAGCCACCATAGGTAAATAACTAGAAAAATTAAGTACGTTAAACGATAAAACTACTTGCACTACAACACATTGAAAGCCTCGCATATTCAAATTACAATATGCAGACAAAAAAAAAAAAAAATAATAATTTACAGTAGTAAACAGGAACAAACCATGATTTTTACACATTTAAAGTTAGGGTAGGTGATTTCGGAGAGGCTAGCAAATAGCAAAGATCCCACTGTAAGAATTACAGTACCTCAGACACTTTTGGCGCTTTTCCACTGCATGGTATGGCACAATATGGCTTGGTACGGTTCACTTTTGGGGGGTTTTCCACTGGGTACGGTACCTGGTACTTTTTTTAGTACCACCTCGGTTGGGGTTCCAAGCGAACCGTACCATTACCAAAACGTGACGTGTAAACTCTGTCACTGAACTTGCAACACAAACACAAAAGAACCGCTAGATTTAAATCAGCACAGCCAGCGAGGGATCGAACGCAACTGTTTTGAACGAGTGCACCTTTTTTAACAACCAAAAAGTGGCTGTTTCGTTGTCTGTTGAGGAAGTACAGACATTCCTCTCGTTAGATCTTCTGAGACAGACAATACACACACAGTGCATTAACATACAGACATCTGTTTCCACATCTCACTGAGAGAAAATGTGGGAAAACCTTTCTCACTTATGCATTGGTTCCTCCTCATCCCCTTCCTTCCCCTCACCCAGCTCACACAGAATGGTCAGTAGTAGAATATAATGTTCTACATGAATGCATGTGATATTTACAGTCATGTTTGGTGTCATTTGAATTGTCTCGGGGCGAGTGGTACAATGGTCTCAATCTTACAAAAGTAGACTAAAAGATAATACAGATCCTAAGATATATTTTGATTACTGTAGAGGGTCATTCCATGCAAATTACCTTCTGTTCCCATTGAGGTGTAAACCACCCAGGTCTGTTAATGCAAATTCCAATTGTTTGTACATGCCTCCATTTGGGGGATGTTTTATCTTGGTTGTGTATTTAAAGGATTGCAGCAAAAGGGTCGGGGCGATTCTGTAGCCAGAAAGACTGTAGTATGAAGTGTGTCCACACACTTCATACTATGTATTTTTCTAAAAGTCAGGTATGCATCTTACTCTTAGATTCGTCTTTGAGAATTTGATGTCTTGTATTGATTTGATATCTTTGAATTGGCTATGTAATTGGCATAATACATATTTACCTGACTGATAATAAATTGTTACATTTGATTTATTCTGACTTTGAAATTATTTTCTCAAGTAGATAAAGTGAAGGCGTATGTTTCCGCAAATCTGCGTCCAGGGTTAAGTGCATACTAGATCTCAGGTTAGATGGAGCATGGCACACATCAGGTGAGATTATAGATTTCTGACTAACTGCTTGACTTTAATTAAGTTGTACTCAGTTGCGTTAACTATGGTGATTGGTCAGCCGAATATCAAACCGTGCCATCATCAGTTCTTCTGCAGTATCATGCAGCAGAATAATAGTCCTCTGCTGCTGCAGTTGTACAGATTAATAATCCATTTGATCAATTTCATATTTTTCTCAACAAACAGACTAAATTAATAGCTTGTCTAATGATAGAGTATTAAGTTCCCTCGATGGGGGTATTAATTTTTCCACCCATGAACAAAAAACGAAAATTTAAGCTGAATTCTCGTTTTTTGGAAAAAAAACGACAAAATGAAAAAGGAGCTGTTTTCTCATTTTTCCACTTTCAATATTAAATAAAAAAACGAATGATCGAATGATACACAGATTTATATTGACTGGGTTAAATAGAATTGCATTTCTAAAAAAAAGACTAAAATAAAATTTTCATTGACTAATACTAGACTAAATGTCATCAGTTTGTGTCAACTAAAACTAGACGAAATTGTCATGGATAATTCGGACTAAAATAAGACTAAAATGCTCAGACTTTTAGTTGACTAAAACTTGACTAGACTAAAAAGAGTATGAATGTGACTAAAACTAATCGAATCTAAAATGACAGCTTCACACAAAGACTAGACTAAAACTAAAATTAAAACAGGCTGCCAAAAACAACACTATATGGGAGGCTAGTCATAGTACTGGTCATAACCGCTGGTTATTGTCTCAGCTTTAATAAAGTTGTACGTAGTTATATTAACTATCGGGGGCTAGGTATGGTACTAGCATAACCTCTGATTATTGTTTGAGCTTTATTCAAGTTGTACGTAGTTATTTTAACTATCGGGGGGCTAGATAAAAATACTATCAGAATATTAACATATTTCATAGTACTAGCATAACCGCTGATTATTGTCTCAGCTTTAGTTCAGTTGTAATTGGTTATATAACTATCGGGGGCTAGACGAATAGTACTAGCATAACCGCTGATTATTGTTTTGAGCTTTAAGTTGTACATGGTTAACTGTAGGGGGCTAAACAGAACTACTATTTAAATAATGGTAAGCATGGGCGACCTATTAAATAGTATTAGTCATAACCTCTGGCTAATGATCAGACTGGTGAGTTTGTGATCGTGGGGCCCACGTAGAGCGGCCGACGTGAGGCACCCTGAGCGACATAGATTCCTAATGAACGAGTAAATATAAAGTAAAGAGTTAACTAGAATAACCAAATATCAGAATAATAGTAATAATTAGAGACAGACAAACAACCAATTTGCCTTTCAACCTAAATTCGAGGTCATACTAAAATGGAGTCAGATTAGAATTGAATTTAAAATAACTTTGCGCGCTGAAAAGACCGAACACGCAAGAAACCTTCAGCCACCACTGGATACATTCCTCGGGCCAAGTGCACCTTACAGCACCCTCCCTGCGAATCACTCTCTAAAGCCACACCTCCTCCAAAACACATGACCGTGCACAGGCAGACCAGAGGCTAACTAACCAGTAACACGATGAGAGATGGCGTTGGTGGAGGGTTGAATGCAACACTGTCAGATTACCTCATGTCTCATTCACCGGTGAGAAAACATTACAGTACAAAGCGCATAATATTACAATAATAACACCTTCCATTCCCGCTTGGTCTGAAGTGTAATGGAAAGCACTGATGGCGTATAATGTCTGTGCAAATAGGGTGCGCGGAGGTATGTAAATACATACATTGACAGGAAGGTAGGACAGACGATTTATAATACATATAAATAAATTTAGACCACTTAATTTAGTGATTGCTATCGGGATGTAAAGAGACTTTAAACCAGCATCACAAAAAATGTTTTTGAACCAAATCACCTACCCTGCCTTTAAACGTTATGCAGGATCACTCACCTAAAATGAAATTGTACTGAGCTAACTGTGCATTCCTGATCTTCTTGTTCAGGGTGCAACCTGGGTCTAGATCCACATCAGTCATCAACCCTCCCCTGTGGAACTCCTGTTGTACCTGAGATTGACAAGGGATTATTTTAGATAACAATGACCTGGCAGTTTATGCTGGGATTAGAGCTAACAGCTACAAGTGTGTGATAAATTGCAAGCAGAGCGTACTTTCTGGGCATATTCATCACAAGTGGGTCCAACAGGAACCACCATCACCTGACGTGGGGACAGCCACAGTGGCCTGTGGGAAACAAAAGCAGGAGAATTTGGTATGCGCACATATGGTCTGTGACTAAACATGATCATGTCAGAGTCTCCGCCTTAGCCGTACCACTTTCCCCCATAGTTTTCAGTCAGGATGGCAATCATTCGTTCCACTGAGCCCAGGATCGCTCTATGGATGATCACGGGCCTCTTCTTGTCATCACCATCATGGCTGAAGAAAGACAATGTTTGGGTTACAAAGTCAGCAACTTGCACTCTTGAAGATCTTGAAAGTTAAATTCAGGAGGGGTGTAGTAATCAAATATAACCACAAAATGTCACTGTTGTACAGGGAGTAGGAACGAGGGCTCTGGATGTTCTCTTACGTTCTATGTTGAGTAAACATACCTTACAAATGTGAGATTGAAGCGAATAGGCAACTGGAAGTCCAGCTGAATGGTGGCACATTGGTGATACCTGCCGATGGCATCCTTTATCTGAATATCAATCTGAATGACAAAAAGAGAAAAATTTGTATAAAGTCATTTCTTAAGTGTTCATATTTAATATTATGCTTGCTTTATCTTTTTGTACCTTTGGTCCGTAGAAAGCTCCATCACCAGGATTCAGAACCCAT